ACCTTTCTTGTCGATGTTAAATTAATAGGTACCAAGTTACTTCGTCTCTTTGAGTTAATGTTTGAAGTATTATTAGAATTACAGTGGTTGTAATTTTGTCTCTGTGTAACTCTAACAGGAATAGCTAAGTTATTTTTCTTATCATCCCATGAACAAATTCTAGGTAATTCAACCAATCTTTCTGATTTTGTTGTGGTTGATGGTTGGGCTGGAAATTTTGATAGAACTGGAAATTCTGATGAGGTCGATGATTCTGATGGGACCGGTAATTTTGATCGTATCGAAGGTTTGGGTAAGGGGGATGATTTGGGTGAGGCCGATGATTTAAACGGCGCCGTCGAAAATTTGTCAGGTGAGCGGAATGGAGTGATGTCTGATGGTTCCCTTGATGCTTGGGAATTTCACTCACAGCATCGAGAGGAATCCGATTGGTGGTTTTAGTTATGCCACGTTGGGATTGAGTATTAATTTGTCGTTTTGCATAATAGCCATGCCTGTATCGCTTCGAGTAAACCTTCTTCTTATTGGGAAGCTTACTTTGTTTATTTTTCTGCATTTTTGATGATGGTAACTCAATTAGTGGCAAATTTCCCAAACACATAGGTAGCGTCGTTTTGGTTTTACACCGTCTAAATGGTTGACCTTGTAGTTTACCTTCTACGGTATTACAATTTGATTTAGAATTCTCACATTGATAATCACGAACACTATTTGAATTGTTACTGACTTTACTCTGTAGCTTATCACTTTGATGTCCATGTGATAAACAAAACTGTTCATCCTGTAGAACTACTGATTTATTACAGGGGTTTTCACTGATTTCGTTTTGTTTACTAATTGTATGAGTATTTGATTGTTCTCTGTTCGCGATGGTTGACCGCTCATCTGTTATATTTTGTATATTTTGCATGTTAATCATTTGACTATGAATTTGCTCAATCGCTTTACTGTTCTGGTATATATTATTGGAGAGTCTCGACTCCGTTATTACGGCATCTAACTTAACACCTTCGAGTTCAATAGATAATTCGTTACACTTCCTAATATTTTCGCCGATATCCCCAGCAGAAATTGACTGGGCATTTGAACCAGACGCATTCTTTCCTAACATGCAATTTCCACAGGGAACCGGGGTTTCCTTTATCAATCTACTTATAGAATTGTAAACATTGTTTGTTAAATCAAACAGACGATCAACTTTCTTGAGAGCATCTCTCAATTCTTCAGACAAATGATCACAATTCTGGTTTTGTGTTTGAGAGGCACAATCCCGTGTTCTAAGACCATTATTACTTTGATCGATATCGATGCACTGCTTCTGTCCGTTGGTCTGGCTAACATCGGAAGGTTGGCAAACACGATTTACTACAGTTATTGAGTCAGAATTGTGGGGACTGACACCGTCACAGACATTAGTTATCGAAGTTGTGCATACCTTTAAGTTGTCTTGAAATTCATCAAGTGTGCTCGACATACACGCCTTAATCAAGCATTCCTTTACCAAATTGCCAGCCTTTCCACGGAATAGTAAAGAACTCAATTTTCCAGGATACCATGTGCATGATAAATCAAAGTTAAAGCTATCAAACTTTTTTGAATTGCCCCCTGGCGACGACCATTTACCTCGCTGGGCAAAAGCATATTCGATACATTTCTTCAGCGATTCGTGATCAGCAGACCATCTAATTCGTTCGCCATCGTAATATATCATTTCGGCAGTTTTATATCTGTAAATTTCTTTCACATCCCAAACGGTGGTCATTGTATTTTCATCGGGGTCGGAGCTCATACAAACAGAACCCGCCGCCATTAAGACTGTCTTTGTTTTAAGTCATATTAATTTTGTACAGTGTATTTATAAAATCCAATTACAGTACAAGGTTAAAAACAACAAAGCGGATAATAATTTGACTAAATAACAAAATAACTGTAATGCATTGTAGTATACCAACCTTAAATATTGCGCTTGTTTTCACGTTGTAAAAAAGGTAAACTTGGTATAGTAAAACACAAGTCATAATGATGATCGCAACAATACAGCAATAACATGCTGTTTCTTTTCACAAAGTATCGCAGCCTGACACTCTTGTCGTTCGAAAGCTTCCATATTGGTTGAGTCAGAGAGATGTTCACTCCTCGACAGTCAACAGTCAATGAAGTCACGCGCGGAATTAGGCGCTCAATACCCATGATGCTTTGCGGCCTGCTGTCCAACCTCCTCTGGGTCTAGGCTGCCAACTGCCCAACATAAAATACAGCCAATTGCAGTTGAGCTTGCAGCTTGCATTTTAAACGCGTTGTTGCATCTTTGAAAAGTATGCGTTCATTCCTTGGAAACACGCCGTTGCTAGGGGCGTAACGTGAACTTTTGGCGCGCGTTGTAACGACGTAAACATGTTTGTCTATTCTTGGCGTTGACGAATTAAATTAGATTTTGTCATATTAAATTAGATTTTGTCACAAAACCGACCAGGGAGTTTTAATTTGACTACAGGCATTCTAAAAATACCTTACTGTTCCGTCGCAGGCTTAAGCGGCATTTTTACAATATATTTAACTCGTTATACGTTTGTTTGCACGCCGTTAAGAAGTTCAACAATGCCCGCCAAAAGTTCACGTTACGCCCCTAGCAACGGCGTGTTTCTAAGGAATGAACGCATACTTTTCAACGATATAACAACGCGTTTAAAATGCAAGCTGCAAGCTCAACTGCAATTGGCTGTAAATTCCTTGATTCTCATTACCGCCCGACTGAATTTTAAGGTGGAATGACCCTCAAATTTTGGGTCATGTAGCAGCTCCAACAAGGTCTTTTGTGATTGGTCAAAGGGATAGTTAAAAATTAATTATATACTGGACAAATAAATTCTATGTTCGTATACAATATAGAAATTTGTGTATTAACTTGTTTTATTTTTAATCATTTACAAGCAGTAATCTTAAGGAACGATAATCAAGCAGTTATATAGTAGTGAAGAGTATAGCATTGAAGGTAGCGAAGGTAGTAGCGAAGATAGCGAAGGTATCAAGGGTAGCGAGGGTGGCAAAGGTAGCGAGGGTAGCGAGGGTAGCGAAGGTAGCGAGGGTAGCGAGGGTAGCAAAGGTAGCGAGGGTAGCGAAGGTAGCGAGGGTAGCGAAGGTAGCGAGGGTAGCGAAGGTAGCGAGGGTAGCGAAGGTAGCGA